AGTGGTGTTGGTATGAGTGGATTGAAGGCTGGACCATCATGCTGCTGAATCCAGTGAAAAAGACAACTAAACATTTCCAGCATTATTTCCTATTGAGAGAGTACATAAAGGTTCTAACCTCTTTAAGGATAGACATGCTTGCAACAAATAGATTAAAATGTGCAGAAGGGCATTTGTGCCTGAAAGCTTGCAATTAAAAATTTTTTTTTGCAAAAATCTAGTTGGTCTAATAAAAGATATCGCCTCTACCACAAGTCCTGGTTCCTTTTGCCTCTAGATACGGCTACAACCTAGATACCTGACACATGAAAGATATTGAATTTTAGCTGATTTTTTAAGTGAAATCTTCATAATTTTACAAGCAGGAAGCAAGTTTAACCACCTGAAACCCTGTTCCTGCCTTTGTTTGAGGTAATTTGCATCATCACAGAGCTTAGAGACACCTTACCACATAAGAAATGTCTGCCCAGAAGAGCATTCCATCTTTTTGCTCCTCTGTATAATATGAAACACCATAACCAGAAGGAAATATGACTACATCCTGCTTACCACCAAGCAACTTTGAGGTAAACAGACTATTCCAACTTTTCTCTGAGCTGAATCTGCATATAAAATGAACTGTTCGAAACAGGAGATTTTACCACAACTTCAGCTCTATCAAAATAGGTACCTTCATTTCTACTCATGAGAACTTTTACAATCTTTTCTCCTATGCCTGAAGAAGGATGTTTAATGCCTGAAAGCTTGCAATTTGTGTGTGTGTGTGTGTGTGTGTGTGTGTGTGTGCGCGCGCGCAAACATCTAGTTGGTTTAATAAAAGATATCACCTCTACTATGAGTCCTGATTGCTTTTGCCTCTAGACCAACACAGCTACAACCTGGATACTTTAAAATGTCTAACATCGTACTTGTTTTTCCTAGACATGCGATTTGTAGCTCAGCTTTTAAAGTCTAATATTAAAATTTTCTGTCTAAATTAGGTAGACAGAACATTAATTAATTAAATACATTTTCTGATCTCCATTATAGAAGTTATATTGAAAGTCAAACCCTAAACTAAATGACATATCATCATAGGTCTATTGAAACCAATGAAGTTAGAATGATTTATATGCGTCTCACATTTTTACCTCTAAAACTATGTTTACTACTTATTCCTGTTAACAGTTCACTACAACTAGGTAAGATAGTTATGAATATGTAAAGCAAAAACCCAAAACTTGAAAAATGTTTAATTCAAAAGATTAGTTCTCTTTATTGTCAATATTTTAATTACCTTTTGTTGCTTTAAGTACTTTTCGTTATTTGTACTGCATGTATAAATCAACTATGTAATGTTTGCCGTGCTAATGACTTCTTTGTATTGCCAGAAACAGCAGTGCTCATAATACTGCATTTTATAATACTACAAAAATTATAGCCATTTATAGAAATAGAACAGAATGTTTGAAATACAAGACAAGCATTATTTCAGTGGGTAAATATATACTTTTCTAATATGACAAGCTCACTTTCTTGTGAACAGAAAGAGTTGTAAAGAGGTCGAGTACCACCTGGCTTGTAAAGAGCAGTCCTTCTTAAAAGACTTCCATTGATTAATTTTTGGCATTGTCAACTGGATGAACGGGCTAAATTCACTGCATCATGGAAAAAGGGACAGGAGAAAGAGGGAAGTATCCTCCAAATTATTTTCATGGTTCTACATTGTGGAAAAAGACAATTTAGTCCCTGACCCTTTCAAATCACCTGAAATCCACTTCGATGTTTATGATGGGATGATTTTTAGGGAGGTACTAAAAGAAGAAAAACAGGATCATGTAAAAACTAGCAAAACAAAAGAATTCGAGTGTCAAGAATGATTTGCAAATGTCAAAGCAATTAGTAGATCTTCCTGTGTTTTTGAATTATGGTGGTGGTTGTAAGGAAAAGTCATTAGTTCTATTCAGCAAAATCATTATTATTCATGCATTTTCAAAAACTGCAGAAATTATACCTAATAGAAGCAATTATTATAGTTTTTACAGATGAGTGGCATGGTTTTTAGAAAGGTAACTGTTTGTACCACATTCTTTTTGTTTGTTTGTTTGTTTCTCTATAATGGGTTGGTTACAAAGGCAGCCTCAAACCAAATATTTGTTAGTTTAGGATAGGAATTTCAATCATTTTAAATTCAGTCTCAAATATTATGGCAGCTCTTCATTCCCTTCTTGCAATACTGTGCAAACACATGGTTATATTTGGCTTGTTAGGATTGTTTAATTTGATTTTATTTTGTTGGACTCAGAGCAAAGGAAATTAACACATTGACCCAATCTCACTC